AGGCATCTTTAAAAATGAGCGTCGCTTAGAATCCTAGAAGTTTTCAAATTATTGATTATTCCGAAATAATAAAATTTTCTAAATCATTTGCTTCAATAGCAATATTATTGCTGTTATGGAATTGAAACTGATTATTAAAATAATTCACAGATGTATATTTGAGTTTTATTTCATTCATTTTATTTTTTTTAAAATGAAATCTCTCTCTCTCTCTGATTTTTTTTTTTCTGTTCGAGATACTGACAAATGGAGGAGCAGTTTTTTAAATGCTTTATAAAAGGGACTGATAGCACTTTATACATTAAGTACTATATGGTGTGGAATATAAATTAAAACAAAACTATTAAATTGTTAACTTAAAATTTTAATATGATCATGAAAAGTATCTTTAGTGGTGAGGAAATTTTATCGATTTTAGCACCATCTCATTTCCATTTCTGTTTCCAGATGTTTATAGATGCATATATTCTACATAACAAATTAGTCCTTTTTAATGCTTGGAAAGATTCACCGAACATTTCACTTTAGGGGCCATATAAATATCTACGACAGTAAAGTACTTGAAACTTATTTAAAGTATTTTATAGAAATTCGTACAAAATTAAAATTTAACGATGTTTGCTTTCCATACTTTCGTTGATATAAGACGACTCAATGCAATTTTATGTTTGGACATTTTAATTCGAATCCCTTTGCCAGTATACAGAAATAATTTTAATTCCAACTTTTCAATCAAAATACTTCTGTTTATGTTAATTAAATGAGTGCCATTTTTGTAAATAACTGAATACCCCTAAATGCAAAAGATAAGGACTAACTTTAATAATGGTTAAAATTCAGCCTTATAGTTTGATGTTAATTTCAAACTATATTTCAGTTTGTTTTCAAAGTTTATTTAATGCCTATTCATTTGAAATTAATGCGAACACAAGACTGAATTTTGGCAGTCGAGGTGGTCAATGACAGCTGGCATAAGGTCTCGCTCAAATTTAAGAACCCTGTCCTTGAATACATTAACTAATTTGCATCCTAGTGGAAGCTGATAAAAGTAGAAGCGACACTAAAGAGAAAATTAAGATTATATATATTATAAAAGAAAGAGTCTGTCTGTCTGTGTGTTGTGCTGCGCGTAAGCTAATAGATCCAGGGCTACAAAATTTGGTACACAGGTGCATCTAGACAAGAGCCAGTGCACCTCGAAGCGATTTTTTCAAAATTCGAATGAGATATTTTTAGCCCAAAAGGCGTTAGCCCAGAAGAGTTATTAATTTCGTTTTAGCATTTTGTGTTGGTGCACTATAAATGTCGGTTCACTTTTCAAATTGTTGCCCACCAAATATTAGAGCCCTGTGTTATATTTAAAGAAATTAAATAATGAAGAATCTCCATAAATGTATGTATGCTTCTCGCACTGTGATAAAACAAAGGTACCTAGAGCCATCAAATTTCGAATAATGTAATCTTCCACTCGATATGAGCAGCTGGAAGCCCGAGTTTGAAATTTGTTTTATTATCAATTTCATATTTTGTAACACTTTAACAAATTTTTGATTAACAAACTCAACAATTTCAAAGCGAGCAATGGTAATACTGTACGAAAAAAAAAAAAATTTGTTTCCAAAGCGAGACACCGTGTACCAGAAATTCTAAGGATGTGCTCATGCGATATTGCTGTTGAATTAAATATATGGTTTAAATGCGAAGAACATGATATTTAATAAATAAAGGTACCACACAAAACGTTAAAAAAACGCCCCTTTGGGTATAATGCAAAATCTGAAGGCCTTTCAGATTTTATTTTATTTTTATTTTATGTTTTCTGATGAAATCGCATTAAATCGATAATTCTCTCTCACTTTATCAGCAACAATGGCACGCAGCCATTGTTGCTGATATATCACTATTGCCATTGCTGCTGATATCAGCACTGTTGCCACTCAGATAAAGGAGGGCGATAATTCTGTGCAGTTTTTAAATTTAATGTTTCTCTTGGATACTGGACTTTGTCGAGAGAAGGCAACGGGAATTTGATTAATTTATTTATTAGGATAATTAATATTTGTATTGAGGGATATTGCTTATTTCATTGTAAATTATTTTATATGCAATACATTTTTATTGATATTTTTTATGAAGTTGTTCTGCAGCATAAAATTCAGTGCAGGTTTTAAATTTAAGGTTTGTAAATGTAAGGTAACCCTTTAGGCATTTTCCAGTACATTTAAAAGCCAGACGAAGGCTGGCCGCCTACCGGCTAGTGGTTAATAAACATCAAAACTCTATAAATATACTTCAATATATGAATGTTGATTCATTGAATTCTGAAACATATTTTCATATTGCATCAAAGTAGATCTAAAATAATTTTTAACAATTTTGTGAAGCTAATTAATTTTTACTGGAATACTGCTCTTGAAAAATTCTGTGTGGTTTATAATGGCAAGAGAAGCTTTCATAACACAATAAAACAAAAGTTACCGTGACGTACAGAAATGAAGCACGCTAATTTACATTTTAAATTTAAATAAAATTTGACATATAGATTAATATGATCTCAAAAATTGCTCTATATATTTTGAAGGAAGACGGCACGAGTTACTCATCTTCATGGAACAATTATTTCATTATTGTGTTAACTTTCTTTTGCTCCTTCTTTGAATATTTTTATAAGGTTTGGTTTTGCTTACAGAGCAGTCAGGGGCAAGCCGTTAATTTAAATTATGCCTTAGGAAATATTTGCACAATCTCCAAAGAATATCTTTTATTGATGTTATGCTAACGTTAAACCTATGTCTTTCCTCTGCCATGTCTGTAACTAGCTTGCGTTTTTTTTGATAGGTATAACAGCAAGAATGAGTTTTCCGAATTATGAAAAACAAAATTATCCATTAAATTATTTGTTTCGCGTAATTTAGACCTTAACTACCTTCCCCGAAGCGTTAGTTCGTTTACTATAAAAACAATAAAATGTTCCTAATTACCTCATAATATTTGCTAAAAGCATATTTTATAATTGCTTATTACATTAACAAAATTATTTTTTCATTACATTAACAAAATTATATTTTTTTTATTACATTAACAAAATTATTTTTTATTACATTAATAAAATTGTTTCTTATATTAAATTTTTTTTATTACACTAACAAAATTGTTAATTACATTAAAAATTTTTTTATTACATTAACAAAATTGTTTATTATTAATCCAAAAGATATATGATTAAATAAAAGATATACAATAGATATAAGATTTTATGGTCTAAGTGCAAAGAACATGATATTTAATAAATAAAGGTAACACATAAAACGTTAAAAAAACGCCACTTTGGGCGTAATTTAAAATCTGAAACCTTTCAGATTTAAAAAAAAATTTTATTATGTTATTTTTTAATATTTAATAAAGTTATTTATATCCGTCTATTAGCAATATCAGATCAATGAAGTTAAAGAAGCTGTTTGATTGTAGCGTCACTGGGCTCTACCTCGAATGCTCAAATTTAAAAACTTGGATCGTAGGCTGTTGAGGGATGATTATTCTTCACAGTGGTATCTTTGCAGAATATGAGCATTACAAACCTCTTGACATGAAATTTGTGAAAACACTGACACATTTTTAGAGGATGGTGATAAGAAGATCTGGTAGGTTGGTACTTCTGGGTTTGGTAGGATGAGACTATCATATTTACTCTTAGTATGATTAACTCCCTGAAAGTATTAGTCGGCCCTACTCAGCTAGATCTAATAATGCAAAGAGAAAATGCAAAAGTTCGAAAACATTCACAAGGCCAGACAATAACACTATATAGAGTCAAACATTTGACGCAACTAATTACAGACATACAGTGGTACTCCATATCATTCAGCAGAATGGAATTTAAATCATGTAATAGACTCAGAATACCAGTCCAAGATAGAAATGTAAATTTAAATTGCTAGTTCAAAACTTGATACGGGCTATATAGTACAGACCAATTCCATAGGGCAAATACACACAGACTGTTACAAAATTGTAAATAGAGACCATTTTAAACACGTTATTTTCACGAAGTTTCTGAAAAATCAAATTTTTATGGCATTTGATTTATGTAAGGCGATCTTCTTTTGCTCGAAATATTTCCTACCACGTAAAAAAGTATTTAAGGGAAGCTAAAAGTTTGTAATGTTAGTAATCATTAATAAATGATTGTAGATAAGAAAAGTTATCCCAAACTAAGGCTACTAATAATAGTTGTTACAGAAGATAAACCACAAATGAAGTTACGTAAAATTTAATAACGTAAAATGAAAATAAAGTAAAATTTAAAAGTAAAGAAATATTTTTATGGCTTAAAATTATTAATAAAAAGAGTGTCGTAAGACAATTCCTTAGCGGGCAAAGAAGATGAATTCTGTAGTCTACGTTATTCACTTACTAGAATTTCCTAGATTAAGATTACAATTGTTTACGTTCCTATATTAGAATGACGCCTCAATGGAAGAAGTAGTTTCGATTTTAAATATCTTTAATAAATTCAACTACTCTTGGTTTATTCAAACCAAACTGTAAACGTTTATAATAAAATATCCTTACTTAAACATCTAGTGATAATTCAATAACACAGATAAGTTTTGAAATAAGAATTAGAAGTTACAGTTAAGCTACGTTTTTAGCGACCGAATTCTAACGATGACAAAAGCGTATTGCCAACGCAGAGCAACGAAAAATTTAAAAGCGTGTTGCCAACTTAGAACAACGAAAAACTTAAAAGCGTGTTTCCAACGCAGAGCAATGAAAATGTGTAAGTTAATTCGAGAGGCATGGAAGTAGACAACAATATTTCAGCTCAAAATGCCCTTCAGTAGTGATTTTGACTGATTCGCATTACATGTCCTCTTAACGTTTTCCCATAAGTCCTTTATTATTTTAAATTTATAAGTTTTCTCTTATGCTTCTGAAAGAAGAATAAATTGGAAACACGCTGAATATTGCCGAATTTAAGAATGGAAAATATGTTCAAAAGTAAAAATACAGATTTATTAAAATTTTTGATTTGCATTTGGCATCCTGAAACCATGTACTTATTTTCCCATGCTAGATTTTAACAGTCTGTACACAAAGCCGCTTTGGTCTTTATGGTTTTCGTTGCCATTTTCCTTATATATACTGCCTTCCAGATGTCTTCCTTCTTCTACCAGAAATTTTTAGATGTTTTTCTTCTTCTATATGGATGTTCTACCGCCTTTGTTTTATTCTCTTTTTACGTTTTGCAGTCTTTTTTCTCATTTTACTTCTCTTTGCTGTTCTTTTCTTCTGCCTACTTCTCCGATTTGCCATACTTTTTCTCTTTTTTCTTGTATTCTTTGTCGTCTTCTTTCTTCTCCGACTTGAAACCTTTGCCTTCTTCTTTCTTCTCCGACTAGAAACCTTTGCTGTCTGTTTTCTCTTCCTAGAGGAAACATTTAAAGCCTTACTGCGTTGCCTCCTGGCTTTAGATTTTCTTCTTCGCCTGCTTTCTTTTTCATTCAAAAATTTTTTCTTTCTCAGGAAGTTCTTGATGGCTGCATTCACTTCTGTGATGTCATCTCCATAACAATCTTGAAGAACTTTCCGAAATTCTTTCAGTGATGCAGCGCCTTTCTGATGGTTCAGTTTTTCCACCATATCGAATACCTGAGAAAGTGAGAAAGGAATTGTAGAACTGAGATCGAGATTAGTTTCTGCTCAACAAGAGTTAGCTAGCGATTTCGTAGTAGATAATACATTTGGTAAGATATTCGGTGATGAGATTAGTAATAAAGATATAACACAAGTGCTGATAATATAACTCTGAATGATGTATTTTTAATTCATATTTATATTAACAGAGTATTATTCAGCGAAAAAAATTAGCATTTAATTATTCTCAATATAAAATAATATAGTTGGATTTTTAGGTAGAAAGTTTAGCTTCTCCATAGTCTACCTTGACACAAAAAGGACACGAAATATTTGCTTACAAAAAAGAAAGATATATAAGTTTGGTACAAAGCTAATAATTTATTTATTTCAGCTTATCAAAATAGCATTATTGCAATGATTTTCAATTTGTTTTGAATTTGGACACACTTTAGATATACGATGCTGCAACACAGTGATTTGGAGTTTGAGATATTATTACTATTAATATTAACACATTAATTTGCATTTTTTTGCAATCTGTCAGTCTGGATTTCCTTCAAAGGACATCGTGGAAAAAAGAGTTTAATTTTTTTTTCATATATAAAACGTTGAACATAAAAAGTAATATTTAAAGGGTGTTAAAAGTTTACGGACTTGACTGAAATTGAAATACAAAAAAATCATCTGCAATAAATACAGTGTGTAAGTTTTGTTATTATTTTTCAATCAAAGCAACAGACAACAGCCAAAAATGTAATAGCTGTTTTAACTTTTCAGGAAATTCGTCATTACACGATTACACAGCATTGAAAGAATAAAAATCTGTAAAAGCGAACATGAATAAATTATAATAGTCACAGAAAGAATCATAATTTTTGTTTTACGTTGGCTGTATGTCGAATACCTTCCCTTAAATAAATAATTAAGATACGTTGGATGTTATGATAATAATAAAGATAAGTTTAAGATATTCTAACTAAACAGTTCGAAATCCAAGAAATCTTTTACATTAAGTCATGGTATTAAAATCTGCTTAATATCAATTTCTTCTCAGTCTGAAAATGGGAATTCACTTTTTTCTCATGCCCAATTAAATTTTAAACAAATATGTGAAAAGAAATATCAACAGACCATAGATCGTAATTTTTTACTGCAGTCAAGCTTCGTTCTAAGCTTAAAGTTAACCACATCGACTAATCTTGAATATTCGAAATTCTCCTTTTTCTTTTCCGGTGAAGAAGTTTCACTCATCTTGCAGATAAAATAATTAAGACGACAAATTATTTTCCCATCTTAGTTACTATAAAAAATTAAAAGTACTTCCTAAAGGATTAGACGATCTGTGAAATTAAAATATCTATTTATGTAACGTGAATTTAAAAATAAATCGCAGTGCTGATGCCACATAAATCGGAAAAGGAAAAAAAAAGTTTAACGACACGTGTAATGAAACAAGAAAATGGTTTTTGTTTCGTGTCGTGGTTTTAAGTAAAACAAAAGAAACGTTTATTCTCAAGTTTAATAAAAATATAAAATTGTTTGTTTGCTAATTTTAAGTCATTAAAAGAGATTTTTTCCGTAAATGTTTTAAATGTTTGTTTTCTAGCAGTCTTATTAATTTTTGTGTCATTTAAGAAATTCGGTTGTTTTGGTTTATTATGATGGTACTTCGCTTGACTAAGGCATTGTTAATATTTCTATATCCTTCAAATGCTATTTTTTATCAACGTTTCTAATATCTTTTGTTCACTTTGAAAGGTAACAATATTATCTCAAACCGGAGGCCTATTATATGTGGGGCAAACATGGATCTTGTCTCAGTTAAAACTTACATGTGAGACAAAAATTAGACTTGTGAAAGATGCAATTTTAATGCGAATATGTTAAAAATAGTTTAAGAGATACAACTTTTTAATACTCCTCATACGTTAAATCAATGAGTATTGCAGACTAAATTGTCATTGCAAACTAAATTCTTATAGTCATCTTAGGAAAATATTTAAGATTGCCACTACTGTGTTTGAGAGCTGAACTGCGTTACTGCTCTGAATTCCATACTATTGAGAATTATGTAATGATAACAACACTATATGAATTCAGCTTACATTAACAGAATGAATAAGATAAAATAATCACTGATACTGCAGTCCTAGATTTGATACGAGGAGGAATGGTTTGGCTCTATAGTTTGCTTGTTTAATCATGTGTATTTTAAATGCGATCCAGTTCGCACAAAGATAATCTCCACAGAAGCGAAATATTTAATTTTATGTTTAATCAATTGATTTTAATTTAAATTAAACTAGAAGTATGTCTTCTTAAGGTTATTCTTAACAGCAATTATGAAAAATAAATTTAAAAAAAGAGTGAGAATAAGGAGATAATTTTGGCTATAAATTTGAGTAGCTAATTAATTAATTAAGCATAATAAAATATGGAATTTTATTTGTCACTTTATATTAACGAATACACAACAATCAATTCGTAAATATTTTTTTGCAAAATTTATTTTCCTTCAACTTCATTCAAATTTTCAATTATGTTGCATTTTAAAATCAGTCCTCGTTGTACTCTGGTATTGCGTACAAAGAGGAGAACTTCGTACATCTTAGAATAACATCGTAAACTGAATTGAAATAACACAAACTCTTTCATATAATGTAAGTTGGGAAATTTATTATGCGAATTTAATGTATATATGCTTTTGCTTCATTAAAACATTTTAATATAAGTTCTTAAAGACTAAACTTGCTATAAAATAACCACTTTACATTAAGTGACATAAATGAATAATTTAATTAACCGAGAGTGAATTGAACGGCATGTAATATAACTACATAATTAATGCCGCACAACCGAGAAAAGTGGTTAGTGACACTGATTACCGTAACGAAAGGTCCGGATTTGAATATTGGAGATGGCATGGATGTTTGTAAATGTATAGTTTCTGTGTGGCATTAGAGGCGCTCTAAATATGCGGCAAGCCGAAAGTCCTCTCGGGAGGTTGTGGCAGAGGAAGAGGCATGGAAGACCCTTGGACCCGTTCCTACACCCCGGAGTACTCTCCTTTAAAATTGTGGGCTGAACGCATTGTCACATGTATCGTAAGCAAGGCTTTTGCCAACGAATCTTGAGCTTGTTCTGATTTCAGACAAGCGAGATTAGTCACACCACCAACATATTCGATATTTAATAGTACGTCTGAGTGTGACTTTACTAGTGCAAGATTAACCTGGTTGAGGCTCATCCAGTGATGATGGGCCAGGCTGAGAGTCATATAGTGATGAAAGAAGAAGCTGTAGAACGTTTGAGTTGTCAGAAGATGTAGTGAGACAGAGAGATCTATCTCCCTGCTGAAGGAAGGGTCAAACGTCCTTCGTTGTAACTTTTGTTTGTTATGAATTTGACATACATAGTTTATGTTTCATCTGAATAAAATCAGTTTGTTCTCTGTAACTATAAGTTTTTAAGGCTATCATTTTTCAGTAACTTACGTAATTTTCCCTTTTGGTTCAACTTATTAACTCACACGTCCCTTTGTACATCATCATTATATTCTACCCATTATTCTAATTCTTCAGTTGAAAGGACTTTTCTCATCTCATTCCTATCAATACTAGGAATGGTTAACAATTATGCTAAGTACGTCTCTAAAAGCCAGAGCTTTCATATAAAAATAATAAAATGTAAAAGTAAGGCTTATGATCTGCAGGAATTCTCCAGAAAAACTTCAGTATTTTCTGGAGAATGTCTTCAGTGTGACTTAGCTTTGAACAAGCGTGAGTTTGATATGTATCATATTGTACACTATTAGACAAAAACAAAACAAAAAAGATGCACCGCGCGCACCGAGAAGATATAAAGCAAATTGGACACAAATTGATATGCATACAGGTTTCGACGGAAAATGCAAAATTTTACATTTTGGCTGCCAATGAATTAACGGCTGTCGTTACAGCGCATCTGATCTGCGAAACTGACAGGATATTTACGAGGAGAAATTACGATTCCAGGTCATAAATTCTTCACGAATTTCATTCCGTGTACTCTGGTAGACAGTAACTATGTCTCACATACAGGCGCGCGAACGATATGCGCAGATGTCAGAATTTGAGAGAGGTCCTGTCGTTGGGCTCAAAGAAGCCGGTTGGTCTTATCGTCGAATAGCTCGACATTTGAGCAAGAGCGATGCCACTATTAGACGATGTTGGCAGGAATGGGTTAACCATGGCTGCACATAGCGTCAAGAAGGAAGCGGTAGGCCTAGAGAAACGACAGAACGTGAAGACTGAGCAATCGTCAGATCGACACTCACACAGATGCATCATTATCATCGATTGTACGTGCAGCTAGTGCTTCAGTGACTGCAAGGACCATTCATAGACGGCTCACAGAAAGGGACTGAGGTCACGGCGCCCCTTGCGCCGACTACCATTGACCTCCGTACAACGTCAAGCGCGTTTGCAGTGGTGTCGGGCTCATTCGCACTGGAATGTCACTGACTGGAGTAGAATAGTCTTCAGTGATGAGTCCCGCTTTGAACTGAGCTCCGATGACCAGCGAAGGCGAGCCTGAAGACGCCCCGGACAGCGGTGTGATACCAACCTGACTGTCTTCCGGCAAACAGGCCGACAAACAGAAGTGATGGTCTGGGGTGCCATTTCATTTCATAGTAGTACCCCTTTGGTTGTCATCCGTCGCAACCTTACAGCACAGCGGTACGTCGACGAAGCTCTAAGGCCCGTTGTGTTGCCCTTCATGTCACGCCACCCTGGTCTTACATTTTAGCAAGATAATGCCTGCCCCCACACTGCACATGTTTCTACTGCTTGCCTTAGTGCTTGCCGAACATTACCTTTGCCAGCAAGGTCGCCGAATCTCTCTCCTATTGAGCACGTTTGGAGCATTTTGTGGAGGGCCCTACAACCAGCTCGGGATGTTGACGATCTAACGCGCCAGTTGGACAGAATTTGGCACGATATCCCTCAGGAGGACATCCGCAACTCCTATCAGTCGATGCCAAGCCGAATAACTGCTTGCATAAGGGCCAGAGGTGGACAAACGCGTTACTGACGTTTTCACTTTCTGAAGCTCTATCATTCTAATAAATCATCCAATTTTTCTCAAACTGTAATCATTTGTTTTTCTGTACATGTACGTCACTTCTACCGATTTTCGTCCCATTCGGATAACTCCTTCTTGGTGCGTCTTTTTTTTTTTTTTTTTTTTTTTGCCTAAGAGTGTATTTTTAGATTTCGGAAAAACACAAAAGGATTCTCTATTTAAGGGGAAAAAGCTTTCGTGGAGGATTTGATAAATGAACCTCGTTTGTATTTATCTTACATATGGAGAAAATTATGAAAACGCCCATGCAGCCAGCTAGTTTGTCAGGATTTGAACTTGTAGAACTATTTGTGGTCAGCTGTCTTATTCGACCAATCGGGAAAATTTGCCATAAATTGAATCTCTTTAAAACGAGTATTGATTATATAAAGTATTGATATATAAGACTCCATGTTTCCCAGATATCTAGAAATGCTCTGTAGTATTTTTGCAATGGGTATTATCATTGATACATTATCATTAATGCAGCATTAATAAAAACTTAAACACCCACTATTTTCAAGAGATAGCTTGGCCTCCTTTTTTGAAATGCGTCGAATATTTTAACAGATATTAACGTTATTACTTATTTATAACTTCCATAAACTTACTTAAAACAGCGGATAAAATAATCCCTGTATTGGTTTTGTTAAACTTCCAAAATTCACACTAAAAGCAGAATTTATTGTATGTATGTAACAGTGCCCTATATTGTTATCAAGAATTTGAGAAAATTATTAATTTTAGTTCAGTTAACTGATTTTGTTAACACATAATAAGATCCCAGTTTTTTTTTTTTTTGTTGATTATTTTTATCAAAAGTATCAGACTTCCAGCTTACATAAAATAAAGACTGCTACTGTATGGCATATTTAATTTAACTAACAAGTAACTATTTAATTTGTCTCCTCAGTATCTTTTCTTATTTAGTCACGCAGTTCATTCCTTCCAGGAAGCTATGTAGATTATTTATGAGACAAGTATAAGAATATAAGTAAGTTAATAAGAATCATAGTTGTATGAAGAGCATTAGTTCGAGTCTGTGGCTAAGTGAGCTAGACAGTGAAGCCGCGAATAGTTAATTGTTGGTGAATATTATTGTTTAATCTTGGCCAATGTTGAAGATTTCCTTAGAAGTTCTGTGAAAAATAGTAAGCTGAAACTGAAAGCTATAAACGTGTTAATATTCGATAAAGAATTGTAGTTTTTCTTAGAAAATTTTTTTTCGAGATT